TATATATATATATATTAAAGATCGTGCAAGGCAAATCCAAATGAATCCAACAAGCAAGGCTTATAGTAGCAAGAAGTTAGTGAAGTATATAATAAAAATGTACCTCCATGCTCCTCTTCTGAGTCTCAGCCTGATCAGCTTCTGAGAACTGCCGCCTACATGCCCTTATTTCCCTATGGACTGTGTGCCAACCTGATATAGGTGTCTGGGGAAATCACCAGACCTGTAAAGATCATAGCACTGGCTGCAGGACTACCCCAGAACCGAGATTTGAAAGCAGAGAATCAAAAGACCAAGCACACCATGGTGATGTACACAGTCCACCCACCTCCCCCTGCTTCGCTGACCTCCAGAGAACAACTATTTAGCTACTTGCCTCAACTTGCCTATAATTTATAGTGTCATAAGGGAATAATTTTTATACTTGAACACCAGGTTACGCAAATATTGTCTAACTACAAGAGTCACCTCAAGCTTGTTATTGCGTTTCTTAAACCATTCTTGAACCATTTTTGCAGTGTGGCAGGGTGCATTATCCTGCTAAAAGAGGCCACTGCCATCAGGGAATACCATTTCCACCAAGGGGTGTACTTGCTCAGCAACAATCTTTAGGTAGGTGGTCTGTGTCAAAGTAATATCCACACGAATGGCAGAACCCGCAGTTTCCCAGCAGAATATTGCCTAAAGTATAACACTGCCTCTGCCGACTTGCCTTCTTAGTGATCATAATGTTATGGCTAATCAGTGTATATCACTGTGGCTATTGTGGAATATATTTTATTAAAGGTTTTGTGCCTAAAGTTCAGCTTTTTGCACTGACATATTTGCCACTGAATGAATGTTGCAAACTGAAAACATAAATTCCTAAACCAAATCACTATATTACCTACATGTGCATGCAAGCCATTGAGTATGACCACTGTGTTATACTCTCATTTACATACATTGACCCCATTAATTTAATTATTACCTCTGTCGAAAAATCCTGCTAAAAGAAAGATAAGTTGTAGTTATAAAAATGAAGGTTCTTATGATTTTTCAAGGCATAAGATCTACTATTACAAAAGTAAAGCACATGCTGAACTGGTAATCAAGCCAAAGCAACATTGAGCTTCATGTATAAAGACTGTAGAAAGTGTTTTTGTACTATCTGTAACCACCAGATTTTGTCAAAAGTAATCAGTCTAGAGCTGGCCATACACCTGGAAAAGGTGCAACAGATTCCTCCATCTACACTTAACTGTGTGGATGGAGTAATCTCCACCTGGGCCAATCTGTTGAACTTTTTCCAACTGACCAAAGAAAATCTGCAGATAATTGTTAGGTGTATGGGCACCTTCACAGGCAGATTAGTAATCTAATGTTTTCCTATGACATGATTAATTTAGTTTTCATACATGAGGCCTATTTTAATCTCATGTACAATGAACTGCATGCATGCACATAACAGTCCTTTCAGTCTAGGTTGCAGAATCCATGAATTACTTTAATTTGATGCAAAAACCACTAACACCACGATCACACATCAGTTGGTTATATAATCACATGCACAGGCATCCAGTCACATGATCTCTTCTAATACATAGGATCTGCTAAACTGAAGTACAGATGATGTAATCGAATGCCTAGATGATCCTGGAACAGCAGCTTCTGCAGAAAAGTCCCACCACTTTGCCTGAAGCCATGAAAAGTTACAGAAGCCTTGAAATACTTAAATTTGATGCAGAAACCCCTAGTGCCAGGATCACACAACTACTGGTTATGTCATCACAAGCACAGACATTCAGATCACATGATTTTTTCTAACGGGGAGTTCACCAAACTGAGGCAGAGATGTGAACCAACGCCTAGAAGATACTGGAACAGGCATTTCTGCAGAAAAGGGCAACTGTTGCCTTTTACAGGTGAAACTCGAATAATTAGAATATCGTGCAAAAGTAATTGCAGTAAGTGCTGCAAAAGGGGCCCAAACCAAGTACTGAGTACATATGCATGCTTGTACTTTTCAGAGGTCCGATATTGTTCTATGTACAATCCTTGTTTTATTGATTGCATGTAATAATCTACTTTTTTGAGGTTGTGGATTTGGGGTTCTTGGGGTTTTCATGAGCTGTAAGCCATAATCATCACAATTATGACAAATCATGGCTTGAACTATCTTGCTTTGCATGTAATGAGTCTCTCTCATATATTAGTTTCACCTTTAAGTTGCATTAGTGAAATAAATGAACTTTGCACGATATTCTAATTATTCGAGTTTCACCTGTATGTGTTTAAAAGAGCCTGGCAGGCACAGTAGTGAGAGTTTTAAACTGACGTAGTTCCAATTCCCTGAAGAAATTATATATATATACACACACACACAGTATTTATCTGAAAATATAAAACAACTCAAAAACTTTCTTATTTGCTGATAATGACAGTTGTCATACATGAACCCTCTAGTATTTTACATCTCTGTGAGCCTTTGTTTCAAAGGTATCTAAAACCAACCATGATTTTCACTGTTGTCTTTTTTTAAAATGCATGTGGAATCTATGCAGAACCACTAAAAATGTACATATTAAAGGGACTTCTTTAGTCCTCGTTCACACCTGTGCGATTTGAAGTTCTTCGGACATTGTGCGACAATGCATGAATCAATTTTACACCTACTGTATGTGTTGTGCTGTACTACAACTTTGAAAAAGGTGTGCTTCTTTTGATCCCACATAGTGTTCATAGTATTCATCCACCATAGACTTTAATGGGAGTGCATGAAAGATGCTAGTAACATGCATTTTGCACAATGCAATCAGCCCCCACCCCTAGCAGCCTATACTTAGTTTATCTTAATGGGCCAAAACAAAAATGCATTCAAAAACACAAACAAAAACACACTACAAAAAAACGCTTGACGATGCAAATGCACAAGTGTGAACAGAGATCTATACTATAGGGCCAAGATGCAGTGCAGCAGCAAATGCATATTCTAGGGACCTTTGCCTGCTTCTGTCACTACTGTAGCCCATGCATATCCTGTAATTGAGGATAATTATAAACAATGTATGTCATGTATGATTCACTGGACAAATTTCTAATCTTCCATTATAATGTTGGTAATATTGGAGATTTTGGACTTAACATATCAATGACAATTTGAATAGTTAAATGCCAACATGACTGATATTTAGTTAAATATAATGTATAAACATCTATCCTCAATTATAGGAAACCTATTAGATCGCTAAAGCTTTTATACTTACATCATCTGATGGAGACTATGTGTAAATCATAAAATGACAAAGGACTGCTAT